CGGAAAGATTTCAATCGCCTCGGCTCTAATCTGTCCGCATTCGAGTTGTATTTTTCATTTCTTCTTTTAGTTCTTCTTGTACGAACTGAACATTTCAGTCAGTTCATAGGTCCCGTTGTAATTCAGAACACACATTGTGTAACAAGTTCGAGACAACTCCGAAGTTATGGTGATTCCAACAATTTTCATATTTGTTTTAGAGTTTTCAAATCATGGTGTATCGATTGTTGTCTTCCCAGTCTTGGGTTGCTGTTTTCGGATTTTCAGTTTGAACTTTAAAAGTAGCAATTGCAGTGACAAGTTGGGAGGGAAACTAGGATGGCATTATTCTATATGTATAGTTGTTTTTGTGTTTCTTATTGTTTTTATTTTATTTTTAATTATTTTCTAATATATATATATATATATAATTTGCTTTGTGTTTGTATTTTCCATTATTGAAATGTTTGGTGTTCCCGCGTTGGAATTAGGTAGCTTTTGTTAGTTTGTGTTTTTGTGTTATCGGCTTTAGGCTACTATAGACCCCCTAGATTCAACTTAGTTAGCTGATTTATTTTAATATTTTTAGTCTGTAATTATAATGGTTATTATACAAGTCTGTCGAACAAAAAAGTATCTTTTACAACATCCACATTACTTTGGTTTATTAAAATATTTATATGTCATGTAGGAAATGAATCTAGTATACAAAACTCTAAAATGCAACAAAAGTTGACCGTGTCTAATTGATGTGATAGTAAAACAAAAAGAATCACTTTACCTAGACATGTCTAGTCAACGGGCCGGGTCACGGCCTGGCCCGGCCCGCCATGCAGGTGGGCCTCCCATGGGTGACCCTTAACCGGCCCGCCAAAAATAGAGGGCCGGTCCACCTGGACCGTCGGGAAAAAAAAAAGAAAAAAAAAAAGAGGACCCAGACACACCCGTAAAGCTACGGTGCCGGTTTTCGAAAGCGGCAACCTACGGGTCAATTGCGGGTTGGGCTGGGACCGGGACCGGACCAAGACCGGGTCGGTGCCAGGACAATGGGCCGGGTGGCCCTTGGCCATGCTAACTTTACCTTTAAGTCTATTTCAGACACACGTAGCCCTGAGCTCTTTACATTGAATTAGCTATTTTAACAATTAGATTTGTTCATGTCATTCAAAATTTAAGTATATTTGTATATCACGCAATCAGAAATAAACCAAAAAAAATATTACGAATGATGTTGACTACTTGAATAATTTTGATCCATGAGATGTTTCATATAAATTACCCTAAAAATAATTGCATTTTTAGAAAATGATACTCTTATGGTGAAACACATTCGATTCATAAAATAGAGTAATGTTCACCTACCCACAGTGAATACATGTTAATATGCCCACCACTTATGTGACATGCACACATTGGTGAAGTATTTTTTTGAACATATTAACGTCACCAATGTGTGCATGCCACATAAGCGGTGGACATATTAACATGTGCCCATCGTGGGTAGGGAACATTATCCTCATAAAATGAGTAATGCTCACCTACCCACAGTTGGTACATGTTAATATGTCCTCCGTTTATATGGCATGCACACATTGGTGATGTATTTTTTTGAACATATTAACATCACTAATGTGTGCATGCCACATAAGCGTATTAATATGTGTCCATCATGGATAGGGGAACATTATCCTCATAAAATGAGTAATGCTCACCTACCCACAGTGAGCACATGTTAATATGTCCACCGCTTATGTGGCATGCACACATTGATGATGTATTTTTTTTAACATATTAATCCTCATAAAATATACATATTTCTTGGTGAACCCGGGCCTCTTTTTTTACTGACATGACCTCAAGATTAAAGGTGCAACGGTGAAGCACATAACAATGTATGAATATTCTTTCCTTTGTTTCCATCATCGCCTAAGTTAACACCACCAAATGTTCATGGCTGCTTCTTTCCACCTCCAAACTCTTGACTCCACAAATCCCACTTTCTGGGCCACACAAATTTCACTACTTCCACTTCAAAATAACTATTCACACTCCCCACCCAAGAACATGCCCGGAGCCAAATTCAACCTCTACAAATCCTAGGTGACAGGGGCCTGTGCAATGGTTGTGGTGCGGATGGTATTCAGCAAGAGCCGAAAAAAGGATGCCTGAAAGCAAAATGAACAAACAGCAGCAATGCCATCAGCATCATCATCAGAATGGAAAAAAGATTGGATTTTTAGAAAAAAAAAATACATTTGAGAAGGAGCTTCTTGGCCTGACCTGGGGCTCACAGAGTTCATCGAGAGAAACCCGCCTCTGAAAAGGAGAATGCTTTGAAGAGTTTGAAGTTCGATGCAAAAAAGGTGAAAGCAAAAGCGCCTGAGCTGCCGTTGCTGTTGCCTGGCATGATTGCCATCGCCAAGAATCCGAATAACACGTTTTACATGTATTGTGGGATTGTGCAGAGGATAACTGATGGGAAAGCAGGGGTCCTGTTTGAGGGTGGGAATTGGGACAGGCTAGTCACTTTCAGGCTTGAAGAGCTCGGGCGGGTAAATGGCCCGCCCATAGTGAGCCCGAGATCGGTTATTCTTCAAGAAATGGTGGCTTATTGCAGTTTTCATCTCATCTATTCAAGTTTATATTCTAGTGCTCTCATACAGACCAATGGCACTTTTCAAGTTTCAGGAAAATTGCAATTGACAAGGCAAAAAGAGTCGGCATATAAAATTTGATATCCCAAGCACCAAGTTAAGAGTCTTGAATTCCACAATTTGAAAATTCTTCACCAGATTTTTAGAGTAAAGTAAAAAAATTTATGAAAGCTTCCAAACAAACACAATACTCGTAATGTAGTAGACGTTCTGGAAGATTTGCCATCTTCCTCTTCCACAAGTTTCTCCAAGTATGAAGGTGTGGCAGGCAAATCCATTGAACACATTTGAAATTTGCCCTCTATAGTCAAGGGCTCAAGGTTGTGGTAGAGTCAGAAACAGCCACCCAACTGAAAAAAAAAAAAGAAAAAAAAAATGATCATCAAATGGCACCTACTACGTGAGAATCACCCTTCTTTTCTAGCAAAGATAAGCAATCATATGTATGAATCACCTCTTGTAAATGCATATGACTAATGCAGCAAGATAAGTTGCCAGCTTAAAAACAATAAAAATAATAATAACTACCTCAAAAAGGGCCATAAGAGCAATGTTCATGCCATTTTTGAAGAGGCAATTTTTAGTGCCGTCCCCGTCCACACGTAACTCATAACAAACACCAGTTTATGATACAATCGTAACACTTCAAAGGTCAATAACACAAAATATATGAGAGGAAATTTCAGCTGGTACAAACATATTTTCATTAATTGCACTTTTGTATTTTGATTCAACCAACACAACTAAATTGGTAAACCTTCACAGCACATTACTCTATCAGATGTTGTACAAACATATTTTCACTAATCTAACATCGCATATGACATACCATGATGGCTTCAATCTCGTCTTGAGAGACCGGCGTTCTTTTGGGCTGATCAGAAGCCTTTCCCCCAACTGATGTGCTGGATGGGGCCCTTGAGAAGAACTTATTAACAAGATCTTCATTCTTATGAACATCATCGTTTACAGATATTTCATCAACCTGGCGCGCCACACCTAAAGAAACAGAAAATGGATACCCAAGGTAACGATGTAGATAGTGCTAATAATGGACTAGATCAAAATGGCTCAATTAAATTCTAGTGCTTCTTCTATTAGTCAAGTTTCTAGAAAAAAAAAAAAAAAAANNNATGCACCTTGGGTCGCTACGGAAACAGCCTCCTTGTATAATTACAAGGGTAAGGTCTGCGTACAACTGACCCCCCAGACCCCAACCAGTTGGGAATATACTGGGTATGTTTTTGTTGTTGTTGAAGTTTTTCAACACACTCATACTTACGATAGTTTTCTAGTACCCAGTTCTGTTTGACCTAGTAACAGCTCTCTGGTAACATTACAAAGTTTGCTAATTTTACCACCCTACATTGGATTTCTAAATATTGGGTCAGAACTCAGATCAAAAAACCTCAATCTTTAGAGGGAAGCCTTCGCGCGAGCGGCGTTGGACAAACTTTTTCTGCATTTTTTAAATAAAATAGGTAAAAATAAATGGAGATATTATGCGATTAGTTAGTATTCAAAATATTTTTGATATTGAAAAGATCCAACTCAAGGAGACGAAGAGGAGTCCCTCTAATAGGACGAGGTTCGATATAATTGACCTCTCCTCTCTGTCCACTAGCAATACACCAGTACAGTAAGTCAGTACAGAACTAGCACAGATGCTTTTCATAGCCCTAGTGGCCTAGTCAACGAGTTAGGTAATGCTAATGAAAAAGCAATAGCTTCCTTCCGGAGTATGCAATCCCGGAAAGGCAAACACGAAAGCATATTTAAAAGACCGTTTGTCAACTACTCCTCCCAGCTTTTGGCCTTGAGTAGTTGTTCTCCCAAGTTAGTTGTCCTAACCAGACAAAATCCTTCAGAAGAACAGTAAGATGGTACGCAAGAACCGAATCTATACGGCTACGGATAGCTTTCGTTTTGTTTAATTTGAATGAGATAGACTGTTTCATATTCAAACTAGTCATTGAAGTTACACAAACTCGGAACCAGAAAAGGAGAGCGAAGTGAGTCTCGACTGAACAAACAAAGCGAAGCGCAGTGAAGTCATAGAGGTTTTTTGAGGATCGATGTAATTGAGAAAAAGTCAAAGTATTCTATCCGTTATTATGTTAAATTCATTTTGTCTCGTACAAGAAATTCATTCTCTTTGTGTATGGGTTCCCGGTAAATAGTGGGTACTCTATTCTAATCCACGGATCGGGAGCAATCGAAAAAGCCAGACCCAGTACGGTATCAGTATCTCTTGGAATCCCAAATATGATGCTACCAATAATTGTAGCAATCCACAACCTCCATAGGTTATCCAATTCACATAACCATATTGAAGTTCTCAAGCATATTCATAGCATATCTTCAAGAAAAGGGGCAACTAATAACCACGCAAGTTAAGGCAACTGTTCCAAATAGAATCAATACTATGTACAAACTACACACAAAGATTTCAACTTTCACCCTAAATCACAAAAAAAAAAAAAAAAAAAAAAAAAAAAAAAAAAAAAAAAAAAAAAACAACAAACAATATCGTTATGGGGACTCAAGAAATCAGAAGATTGGGACAGTAGTTAAAAAAAACAATTACCCAATAAGTAAAAATAAATTTCGTCCACAAATCAAGTACTCCATGAAACAGCAGATATAGAATTGTGAAGAAGATGATGCATATATATACCAGAGGGTTTGTGATGCCTTGGGGGAAATTTGATGCGTGGGATTCTCTTCATCGCCTGGCCCGCCCCAATTTCTCCCTTTGCGTTTGTCTGAACTGTGAATATATTTTTTCTCGTCTTGTTGGGCTGCTTCACTGGTTTCTTTTCCAGCGAATACTTTAGACTACATTGCAAACTACGTCCACCAGTTATTGTTTATGTCAAATGAGGACATTATTTCAAGTAGTAGTGGCAACACAACACCTAGGTGTTAATTTTTGAATTTATTTTAAGCTTATTTGTGTAAATAAAAATTTTAGTTTAAAATGAAACCCATAAGTTGTAAGAATCTGTTAAGAATCGTGTATCAATTATCGAATTCTGTATCAAAACCCGTACTATCGACTTTGATTTTGATACAGATTTGTACTTAAAAACGAGCTTTTTGTGAGTTTATTTCACTAGATAATAATAATTGTTCACACAATATCCTAAACATCAAATACACGCCAAACAACATTTAAAAATTCAAACAAAAACGAGTAAACAACTAACTTTGAAAAACCGTCAGATTGTCGCGGCGCGACCCCCTTCCCAGTCCTAAGGGCTGCTTGTTTATGGATTAATTTGCTCACTTTTATTTCAACTCAAAATTTAACTCAACTTTAACTCAACCTCTCTTTAATATTATTCATATAATTAAATAATACAAACAAATCATTCATACACATCACATCAACTTTAATTCACTATTCATCCACTCACATATTTTTAACTACCTATCATTTCCAATCATTCCAATCATTTATCTTTTACTTTTACATCAAATCAATTTTAATCATTTTATTTTAAATATTATTTTAATACATTCTTAAAATTCCACTCACAACTAACCATACTACCTTTTTAAAATTAACTATAGTTAACCAAAATAACTCATTTTGAACAAATTATTTCAAATTGTTTATGAAATAATTTGTTCAAAATGAGTTATTTTGGTTAACTATAGTTAATTTTAAAAAGGTAGTATGGTTAGTTGTTAGTGGAATTTTAAGAATGTATTAAAATAATATTTAAAATAAAATAATTAAAATTGATTTGATGTAAAAGTAAAAGATAAATGATTGGAATGATTGGAAATGATAGGTAGTTAAAAATATGTGAGTTGATGAATAGTAAATTAAAGTTGATGTGATGTGTATGAATGATTTGTTTGTATTATTTAATTATATGAATAATATTAAAAATAGTGGGGTTGAGTTAAAGTTGAGTTAAATTTTGAGTTGAAATAAAAGTGAACAAATTAATCCATAAACAAGCAAGCCCTTAATTATTTATCATGATTGACTGTCGTTGTTGAGTCCCAATCACATCTATTAAATAGTGGATAAGATGCGAGTTCAAGATTTAATTTTTTATTTTATTTTTTAATTATTTAAATATTGACTGATTGACGGTGTTGACCGTTGACGTTTACCAGAGATGATTTACATGTAATTTTAATTAATTATGAAATACGTATGAGCTAAATATGTAATCATAAAACTTACCGTGCCTTAATCTGGTTAGTTGGAATGATAAGTTTCTGTATTCGTAATCCAGTCATATTACCTACATGATACTGATCTGCAAGATTTCATCAATGAAGCAAGAACACTTTGCTGGTAACATGACACAACTTTAGAGATCGAATACAAGACTTAGAAGATAAAAGAATGTGATAAATATATTAATTTTCAGTCTGATAACTAAATATGTATTATATATAAACTAAATATGAATTATGTAAGAACTGCAGTTTGTCAACGTTACTGATCACCAATCAACACCAGTCACTAGTCCACGGCTATTGGCAAGTGTCGTATTAAATTAATTATGTGTGCTCACTAGCTAGAAATTCACAACCTCAGCTTCGGCGCTTCCCACTTACAACACGATTTGAAAAATTTGCCTCTCTTGCGCTTTCATTAACCATAACAATGTCGACATAATACGGTTTACACCTCATCAAAATTGACCGTTAAAGTTGCTCTAACGACTACGTTTGTCTCCTTGTTCGTAAATACTTCTTGTATAAAACACAAGTCTTGCGATGCAATATGTAACAACTATTTCTTCAGTAAAACTTGAATAGTTTTTACAAGTCAATTTGATATTAGGACAAGGGCTTGTGATTTGTGAGTAACTCATGAAATGGTCCTAGTTTGCTGTGACACCGGAAGTTCAATAGCTAAGAAAATGTTTCCAGCATATTACAGACTTCTCATCAATAGAAATTAGCTCTCCCAATATTTTAACCTATAGGTGGTAATTTCTGGCACAAAGTGAAAAACAACACGAAATTCGAATCACAATCGAAATCGAACATGAACTTGGATTCCCACTCACCAACTCAAAAAAGAATGCTTATCATTCATTCTTTTTGTAGCAAGGCACAAATAAATGGTAACCTCTATGGGACGATCAACATGATGAAAGAGTATTATGATAAAGGAAGACGAGAGGAACGGTTCAAACTGGCTGATTGGGGTTCACTTGAAGCTTCGACCTTATCGCCAACAGATAATCTCTCAGAAGGTTTGATTCAAGTTGGGCAGTTGTTTCTATGGTCCATATCAAATCGTAGAAGCGTGGGTGAAGTAGCCTGTCGACTCGATTTACCAATGGCTTCTCAAATCCATCTGGTTATTCACGTATCTCAATTAAAGAAAAAAGTTTGGGTAGACACCATGAAGTTCATACAAGGTTGCCGGCAGTAAATCCCGAAGGCACTATGATTGTATGCCCGGCTTATATATGCAATGGATTATCGAGGGATTTAGAAGGTCGGACGTTTTCGTTGGGAGGTAATAATCGATTGGAAAGGTTTGACGGAAGAGGATTCGACTTAGGAAAATCTACAAGATATGCGTGTTCAATTTCCAGATTTTGTCCTTGAAGACAACAAGGACACTGTTGAAGGGGACAAGAATGATGCGCATGAGGGTCGTCGTATGAAGAATGCGTACAACTGGGCTCGACATGCATGAATTAAAGAACAACAACTGGCATGCTTCCAGGGGGTCGTCATCTGGAAAACGCGTACAACTGGGCTCGACGTGCATGAATTAAAGAACAACAATTGGCATGCTGCCAGGGGGTCGCGCTGCGACGATACAAAAGCCTCGTGTCGCGAGCATAGTCAAGAGGTCGTCACGAGGATAGATCCTGGGAGCTTCCCAGGGTTTCGCGCGCGACGGTACAACAATGACTGCGCCGTGAGCATTGTCGCGTTTCCCGCCGTGATGACAGAAGCTTAGGGCTTGATTGTTTATGAAATAATTTGTTCAAAATGAGTTATTTTGGTTAACTGTAGTTAATTTTAAAAAGATAGTATGGTTAGTTGTTAGTGGAATTTTAAGAATGTATTAAAATAATATTTAAAATAAAATGATTAAAATTGATTTGATGTAAAAGTAAAAGATAAATGATTGGAATGATTGGAAATGATAGGTAGTTAAAAATATGTGAGTTGATTAATAGTGAATTAAAATTGATGTGATGTGTATGAATGATTTGTTTGTATTATTTAATTATATGAATAATATTAAAGATAGTGGGGTTGAGTTAAAGTTGAGTTAAATTTTGAGTTGAAATAAAAGTGAGCAAATTAATCCATAAAAGAGGTCGCGCTGCGACGATACAAAAGCCTCGTGTCGCGAGCATAGTCATTTTCATTTGTCCCCATTGAAAATGAAAAGATCTACTAGAGTAAAATGCAATTTTTAGTCATGTATGTTTCACCACCCTAATTTTTTCGTCCTCTTCAAATTGTGTTTTTTATGTTCGTCCGGTATGTTTGCAAAGAGGATAAAAAATATCATTTTTGCAATAAAAAAATTCATTTATATTTTGCAAAAAATGTTTCAATTTCGTCTTTTATGTATGAAAATGACATTTTTGTAATTTTTTACAAACATACAAGACGAAAATAAAAAACGCAATTTGAAAATGATGAAAAAGTTAAGATAGTGAAACATACCGGACTCAAAGTATAATTTACTCAAAATAATATTCATCCTCGAATTTGAATTTGACGAATACAGAATTCAAACCATGAATCAAATCGAAAAAAAAAAAAAAAATGTTGTGCCCATATATTGAAGGAGGCGTCCAATATCATAGAATATTGTAGTTGAACAAATCAGATCTAAATCTGGTGCGCCTCTCTTCCAGCGGGGCTGACCGCCGCGGCTCCATCCTCTCTAGGGCGGTCCTGGCCAGACCTCACTCTTCCAGGTATGGTCGGTTTTCCCTTCTCTGTTTGGTGGTGCTTCGGCCGCCGGGTCGTGTTGGTGGTATCGGTTGTCGGTGAGGAATAGGGTCCGGTGCCGGCGCTCCTGCCGGTGGCCGGTGTGTTGGTCGTGACTGTGGCGCTCCCTGAACTCTCGATTTCTGGGGTGGGAAATGGGGTCCGGCCGACAGATGTGGCTCTCGGGCTTCGTCCGTCGGGTCTTGCGGAGGCAGTAGTCCGATTTACCTAGGGCAGACTGGGAGTTGGTGATTGAGCTTCGGTTCTCTTCATCTGGTTGGTGTTCGGTGCCTCGGGCCGGTTGCAGTGTCGTTGTGAGTTGCGAGGGGATACGGGGATACACTTCCGCCTGAATTTCCTCAGTTAACAGATGGCTATGGCGGATTGGGGGGCAGTCGGGTTGCCGGGCTGCTTAGAGCGGCGGAATTTTACGGCTAGCTGTCGTGGGTTGTTGATTTTCTTTGACTTGTGCGTTGGTTCCCTATCTCCTGTTTTTTGCTCTGGTGTTGGGTGTATGGGGGCTGTCGGCGGGGGTTTGCTTCGATCTTATTTGGGTGGCCGTTGCCGGTTAGTTTGGGGGAACCGGGGTGCAGCTCTTCTGTACCGTTTCTGTGGTAGCCTCTTTGGGATGATTTGGATCCTTTTGGTCCGGTTCTAGTTAGGCATTAGGCAGTTTCTAGATCCGTGTTTGGACCGAGGGTCTGTTTCTTTCCGGGAGGGTTACCTGGGGTGCTGGATTTATCAGAGTGCTTGAGAGTGGAGCCTTTTTAGTTGGGAGGGTTTTATGTTAGTTGTAGTTTAGTTTTTAGTTCGTTGTATTGTTGTTTTGTGTGTTTGATGTTTTTCTATTGTTAGTTTGTGTGTGTTTCTGTTTGTGAGTGTTATTTGTTTTTCTCTTTATGGGAGTTGTGTTATTCTTTTGTTGGGAGCTGTGTTATTCTCACGTTGGGAGCTTTTGTCCTTGTAGTGTTGAGTTTTACTCCTAGTGGGTCGCGTTTAGGTTGGTTCTAGGCTACCTCGGACCATCTGTCTGTAGGGTTAGTCCTCCCAACTAGATTCAACCGAGTAGTGGCTTATTCGACTGTTCTCTATTTGTAAATATGTGTTTTTTTTTTTTTTTTTNNNTCTTATATTGAAAGTCTATCATTCTATAAAAAGAAAAGTAAAACAAAATAAAACTTGATACAGTGGACAATTCAATCCAAAATACAAAGTAATGATAGGTGGGCACATCCAAACAATCCAAAATACCAAGTAATGATAGGTGGGCACATCAAAACAAGCAAATGCAAAGCTAGAAAATCACCTCCACAAGCATTGGACTTTTTTTACCATTGTCAATATAGCTATTTCGAGAGCTATCCTTAACAAATAATTGTAATTTACTTCCGGCAAAATAATTGCATTTTGATAAAGTAGATCACATAAATGAAGAACCCATTCATAATAGAATACCAAGAAAGTGATCTAATGATTTTACAGTTTCCAGAGATTACAAGCCACATTTTTCAAGTAGTTTCACCTCAAAAGCAATAAAGAGGCCATAAGTAGCAATTCATAATGGGATATTAAGAGATACACACCAATGCCTCCGATGAGGCTCTAGGTGACGTTGATAACTCCTCCGAGAGCTCAAACAGTTGTTGTTCAGAGGTAAATTCTTTCTCGGTCGTAATTACCATTTTCTGCAACCTAGGAGTATTTTTCAGCAGAAATTTCACAATCTGGATGAGATACGGGTCGCCTGTATGGCAGCTATGTATCCTAATGCTCTTGAGGCAGGGTAAGGTTGCCTCCTGTGAGTTCAAGTATCCCTCTCCATCAAAATCATATTCCCAAATCCATTTTGCGTCAGCAGTCTAGCAGCACCAAGTTGAATGATCTTAGTACCCCAATTCACGGAAAGACGGGCGAAGAAAAAGATTATTCAAAATATGAGGAGAAATTTGTACCTGAAAGAACGAGTCAGATTGACCAAGGGCAAGCATTGTAAGTTCCACGAGAGAAGAAGAAGAATGTTTCAGGAGGAGAGAAAGCCCGGGAAGGTCCCATTTTGTGAGATGAAGTTTAACATTGATATGCTTCCATTGGAACTGTGGGCAAACGACATTCTTCAACTTCCATATTGACATCACCTGCTCATAAGAGTATAAAAACCAATTACATTCATGTAGTCCCAGCATGTTTATCTCATGAAATTTACAAGATATGCATTAGTAATGATACAAGGCCTACATAAATTGTCACAAAAGTTTCTATTTGCTCTTTTTATCAACTTATCACCTTTTATGTTCTTGCAGCTACCACAAAGAAATAGTTTCTTCACTTAAAGAAATACGCAAAACCACAGCATACAAACTGTTTTTAGCTGTTTAGGCATCAAAGTTCACTGTCATGCTAATAATCAGATTAACACTCCATATTTTACATCATGAAAGTACTCTGTCAACAATTCGTTCTTCACAAAGAATAAATAAATAAATCCAAAAGCCTTTGATTTCATCTCTCATGCAATAAAGAAGTCAGATGTTCAAATAACTTGAAACACATAAAGGCACAAAGGATACCAAAACACTCCCATCGCATATGCTGAAAGTCCTGCACCGGCTAGCCATGAACAGTAGGGCCCGCACTAGAGAATAATTTTTGTCCTTGCATCTGAACAAGCAGATATAGTCGACGGAAGCTTCGACCAAAGATGAGACATGATGCAAAAACACACCCTCGATCCATCCAGTTATTCGTATTGACACTACGTGAGGACACTCCACGAACACAATCCAGCTATTCACGGCCACATCAAGCATCAGCTTCTTCAAGTTTGGGTTTTTGGAATTCAACTGGCGAAAGCCATGACAATCAACCACAGACAGATCCTCAAGAAACGGACAACCAGTCAAGATTCTTTCTATGGCTTCATCACTCAATAAAACGTTATGGAGAGACAATACTCTCAGTGCCGGCAGATTTATTTGCTCGCAAGATCTAATGTCACAAGCGGTCAACTCTAAATTCGCCAAGTAACTAGTACTTAAAACATCGGGTAACTCATAATATTGTTCAAGAAAATCACAACCCTCAAGATCGATATCCAAAACCTTGACTTTTCTGCTCACGGCATAACTGATTAATTTCCCCACTTGATATAAGGCGGCCCTCTCTTTATCCACCTTCCGTCTTTCATAAACACTAAGGTTGGGATTATTAAGATCTGACTCAGTGTAATGTGAATAAGACAACGCAAGGGCAAATCTGAGGTGCAATTTATCCAGCGTGTTCTCATCATGATGATTCCAAACCTGATGAACTACATGCATGAAGTTTTCATAGTCACAAATCAGGACATCTGTATCTTCATCATCCTCATGGTACACACAGTTGTCCAAATCAAGAACCGGCAAACTAAGCCAAAGTTTACCGAATCTCGAAAGAACAACAGTTCTGATGGCATCACGTAGCGGTAGAAAGGAAAGAATGTGAACCAGAATCGAGTCTGGCAAGTCACTAAAAAAATCGCGGTTTTCTTCATGGGACTTTTTTACCCTTTTCGTAAGCGAAAACATATCTTCCTCCTCGTTACTGCTTATATCCATGGTGGAATATGATGATACTATCCAAATGATGCCTGATAACTGGAACTTAATCGATAGCTCAACACAGAATCGGCTCAAGTGCAAAATTAGATAATTAGATGCGAAACATAAGACGGATGTTACAATCACAGTCACTAACGTATTCAAGTCCAGTTCACAAATGTAAATTTATTAAACGACCTGCAGCTTCTGGACTTGGAGAAACTGAGAAACCCCAATTGAAAAGGTTCTAGGGTTTTTGCCCCCAACATCAAAACTCGGGATTTACAGGTGAGATCTGTAGTAACAATGGAGCCGTAAAAATAACGCAGTCATGAATTATAAAGTTGTTAAATGATAAGAGGAAATTAGGAATAGAGTTACCTGAGCTGTTTGGAAAATATAGTAGTTTTAGCCATTTTTTTAGCTCTCCTTTTTCCTAGGGCTGAGCACGGGTCTTGGAGATTACCGAACCGTACCAAAAACCGAACCGAATTCACCCCGAACCGAAAAATATCCCCTGACCGTTTGACTATCTCCGAACCGAACCGTACCGAAATTTTTTTCGGTACGGTTCTGGAGATTCATAAAATATCCGTACCGAGAACCGAACTGATCGGACCGAACCGAAAATAACCGTACCGAACCGAGGAACCGAACAAGAAACATTTACAATTCATAAAATCCACATATATATATTATCTTATTTTATCATATGTATTTTTTTACACTTTGTACATAATTTTATTCAAATAAAATCTATGTACATTGTATATGTCCATAAAACTACCATAAGTTATATGTCAAATTGAGTTGCGAAAAAACATCCACTGTTGAATGTTAATAGAATTTAAAACCTAAAAAAATAATTATTTTATTTTGGTATTACTTATGAGACACTAAAATCTAAAATCTAAAATATTCTTTTATTTATCAGCTATATATAAATTGATTATTGTTCATGTACGTCTTATCACATGCAGATTTTTTGGCATATAAACGTTTATCATATAAATATTTCAAATTATATTATGATATTTTGCAACTA